GAAATGAGAAGACATATTTAGTGAGATAGTAGTACCATTTCGTGCTTTCTCGTCAGTCACATACAACAAGCAACATGTTATTTGTGTGTAAATGCAGTTTTGAAGATCAGGTCAAAATTTCTTATTTAGCATGACATTCACTCACTAGAACCATGGTAAACAAAGGTCAACATACAGTTAGTTGTTTTTGAACACATAAAGTTGGACTTTTCCGACCAATCAAGATAGCTTCGAGTAGTTTCAGTGTGTGTGTGTGGGTTTTGATGACATATCACAACTCTAAAAAGGCTGATTTTGGGTCAATTTGATGACCACTCATCATTAGATGTTTTGCAATGGACGAGGCTGGGTTACTTGATCGATTTTGAGATGATGGGCTAGGTTGATGAAACATGGATTTGATTAGCCATTTTGGAATATGTTCTCCTATCCTGTCTTCCAATCGGCGATCTGTCCACCCTCAGTAACTTTCTCCGCAGTTACATGTGACTGACGAGAAAGCACGAAATGGTACTATCTCACAAAATATGTCTTCTCGTTTCTCTATTCAAAGTTATCAAAGGGAACCACTGTTTTGAATTTCTATAAAACAATTGTCAATTATTTCGAAATATATATATATATATATATGCTCTTTTAAAAGTCAAAAGATTTTATTACCAATCAAATATTGGTTTCACTGAAATTGAAAATTCAATATTCAATGTCCAATTGATGACAAATGTAGTAGTTATTGGTTTGAAAATCATTATAAACCGTTGGATACCGGCTCAGTGGTCTAACGGTTAGGGCGTTCGCGCACAATACCGAGGGTCCTGGGTTCGAATCCTGCGGGCTGCAGGAGTCGTGGATGCGCACTGCTGAGGAGTCTCATACCAGGACGAAATGGCCGTCCAGTGCTTCCAGGTTTCTAATGGCGGTCTAACATTGATCGATACATGGTTTAAAAAATGTGTAACTTAACAATCTTCACAACCCCGTAATACAAATTACCTGTGCTCACTACTGACTAGCTTGGTGAGGAATCTTCTCCGAGTTCTAGTGGGAAGACGTGGCCAGTGAAGTTCAACCTGTTCAGGTGTAGGCAGTGTCTACCGAAGACTGTGTATGAGGTTGCGCAACTCCGTGAATTTAAAAATTTATCAATCATAATCGTGTCAATAAAATTATCATCAAAAATACTTTACATCATGATAAGTAATGAATTATGTTAAATTTTTAGGTGTGCTAAAAACAAAACCTATGCTTAACAACACAATAAAATATAAACAGTTAATGGGACGTTGTTAGATTAATATATATAGTTTTTAGCAAGTATTTTTTTAAAAACTCGTATATTTAATCAACACAAATTGGCAGAAAATGAGAAAATGTTCCCTTTTGAGTGTATCCATATAAATATGAATATAACAAACGATCATTCAATCATACAATCCTATGTATAGGATTGAAAATTATCATCATTCAACAAGCACTGATGATGAGTTAGGAAGATAAACTAACTAGTTAGTGTTAGTGGGACATAGATGGAATTAAAGCATGACTACGTTGCTGCGCGCTGATTGGTTAATTTCCTATCCAATCAGCGCCTGATCGAATCTTGGAGAACAGGATAGAAGATTCGCGTACTGTTAGCTGCGTGCTGATTGGTTAAATCTAATCCAGTCGATCACGTGAGTTTCTATCCAGAAGCTTCTCATGTAAATGCTATAAATATACTAACGTTGTATCTATTTTTGGCCTTCTTTGCCTTCGCCTACGCCACCACCTTTGGCTTCTTATTTCCATTTAACCTTGCTATTTGGAATATAATCTTTTCCAGTTCAACCGCGTTTTTGACCAGTGTATTGTGGTCAGAGAATACTAAGCAATAGGATTTAGCTGGAAATTATCTAAGCAAGCGTTACAACAGTTAGTTACAAAGTTTTCGAAAGATTGGGTAAATAGAAAAAAAGGTTATATTGATAAGGGAAATATTAGCCACTTGTCAACAAAAACTTAAGAAGAGAAAACGATTAGTTAAGAATAACTGCTTAATGATTGTCTTGTCTGTGAAATAGCGAAAAAAAAAACGGTTTACACATGAATAGATGTGTTGTGGTGCGCGCTACTTATAAGTAGTATATGACGCGAGTGTAAACGTAATGTCTGGCAGCAGAATATAGGGGAAGATCAAGAAAGGAAGAAGAGTGGGAACACAATTGAATTTGTATGAAATGCATGAATAAGTGAAATGTCAGACAATGGATTGATGATGGATTGAAGGTTTGCAAGTTAACCTGCGTACGATATGGTTTTCCTATTTTACTGAGTAACTCTGTAATTTTCGTTAAATACAATTCGGTTGCCCACCTGTGTTCTCCTTCACTACAGTGTGATAATTGATTGAAGATTTTAGTTAATCAATAAGCAAAGCCAGAATTTTCAATACAAACGTCAAGAAACGTTAAACTATATAGAGCTAAGACTTGGATAAATGCTATATCTATCATTTTTTAAAAAAAACACGTATTTATGAATAGTTGTTTATGCAAGATAGTCCAGATTTGCTGGCCGACAACTATCAACCCAACAACCTACTTTAATAGAGGACAAACTAGTAGAGTCGAAAAAGATTCCGGAAATGGATAGGTGAAACATCGTAGAAATTAACCAAACTATATTCAGAAATAAGCCTTTATTACTAGGAATTCTCAAGACAAAACGAAAAAGTGTAGAGGCAAACAATAAACAGTCAGAAATCGGAGGAAGACATCAAAATGATGAATAGCAAGCACACTTAGGAACAACTGGAAAGGAGAACCCAGGACAGAATAGATTGAAAATTGATAGTCGACTACCTATGCTCCACGGGAGAGGTATGTTGCATGCATGTGACACGTATCGGTCACGAATGATATCACTCAGTGGATGTATATGAACATAAATCAAGAAGTTAGGTACTTTGACACTGAGATTTTTTATCATATAAATGAACAAATTAGTTGCACATTTTTGAAACCATGAATCGATCAATGTTAGACCATTATTAGAAACCTGGAAGCACTGGACGGCCGTTTCATACTGGTATGGGACTCCTCAGCAGTGCGCATCCACGACTCCCGCACCCCGCATGATTCGAACCCAGGACCTTCGATATTGTGCGCGAATGCCCTAACCGATAGACCACTGAGCCAGTATCTAACGGTGTTAATGTCTAACTTGATCAAATTCATGGAGTTGCGCAACCTCATACACAGTCTTCGGTAGTTACTGTCTACACCCGAACAGGTTGAACTTCCCTGGTCACGTCTTCCCACTAGAACTCGGAGGAGTCCCATAGCAGGACGAAACGGCTGTCCAGTGCTTCCAGGTTTCTAATGGTGGTCTAACATTGATCGGTTCATGGTTTCAAAAATGTGTAACTTAACAATCTTCACAACCCCGTAATGCAAACTAATTAGTGTCAAGCTTTCTATGAAAACATCATAGTTATGTTAAATCAATGGATACTTATATCAGTCAGCTACAGCATAAAACTAAATACGTACGCACATCAATTCAAGCTGCCATACCACATTAACACACAAAGATGGGGAATTACCAATTCAAACCGCGTATTTTAGTAGAGGTAGGAGAAATATTAGCAGTAATGGGAAAGATTACAGTTCAAAGATATTATTCAAGAAGTATGAATCCAATGAAACAAATTCAAGAAGAGAGTTTGAGGAGGAAGACTAAGAATGAATGCATCTGCACCATTGTAAACGATTTTTTAAGCCATGTTATTTTCAAAGTCTCTAACCGGCGGATACTCATTATCAGTTAATATGTACTCCGGAAGTTTGTAAAATCAAAAAAGAAAAAAAGGTTCTAGTCTATTGCTATTCAGATATGATCAACTCATAACTAAAAATCGTTGTGAGAGATTAAAAGGAGTTTTCTTAAATCTCATTATCCAATGGGAAATTAGTTCTATTGTAAACATTTACTTAATGCTCGAAATAATTACAAATATCTATTATACGTCATGTTTAACTGCACATATCAATTTACATGCAAAATGTGATTAGAAAGGACAGATTGACGGGTTTTTACATATATTTCATTAGATATAGTCTGAAAAAATCGACACATTCAAAAACAAAATAACCTGCATAGTTCTATAACATGCTATGTACTAAATATAGGGCACAACAATATGGATACAATGAACACATTCAAAGCGATTAACTAGAAGTTTAGTTTTAGCTTATTGAAATTCATGGAAGCCTTATCAATCAATGAAAAGACTTTAATACGATCTTTCTATTCAACAGAAAGAAGTATTGAACCTTCAACTATCTTGGTAATAGAATTAATCAAAGCAGTTGAGTTTTTTGTTGTTCAAATGACTGTATTCACAATTTGGTGTGTTTCAATCGGACAACTTTCCTGTTAGTTGAATTTGTCATTGGTTACATCATAGAACGATCTTAGTTAGGCAATCACTGGAAACCAAAAAAGTACCAGACAGTGGTTTCCTCCTAGTGTGGGACTACTCAACAGTGAGTACCAATGAACTCACTGAGGACTGAATCAAGAACCTTCAGTCTTGCGGTGAACGCCAAACTTTTAGACCACTGAAGAGATATCCAGTGGTTTACATGTCCAACATCAAGCAATTAGTAATACTGCCGAACTATCCTCCATGATCTTAAATGGATAGCTACTTCACCTCCGATATGTTTGGACTCTAATAGTCACATCTCCTTAGAACTCCATGAACTACGTATTGAAGTTAGTCACTAGTAAGTACATCATTGCTATCAGCATAGGAGCTCTCACAATAAAAATAAAGAACTGTCCAACGTTTTCTCGTCTTCAACGGTTGGTTTGTAATGTGAACTCCATAAAACCTCTTGCATAGACATGGATTTATTAATTATCACACACAGTGTAATTGTTTCATACTCAACGTTAACATAACAACATAGTAAAGTAAAGAGGCAACCAAAAAAAAAAACAGCAGAGTTACTTACATTTAACATATCGATAGGTAAAGGAATAGGTGGATTATGCTTGCTAATAACAGAAGATACATTTGATGGATTGTCTGTGGAATCACGAATATGTCCATTTGAAGAAGAATCCAATTCTTTAGCACCGACTGGCCATGAATCTTCATCAACTTTCCGCCAACCACGTAAAAGGCTATTCAAATGAAAAAGAAAAAAGTTCACGTGATAAATCAAATCAAAATTTGAATTAATTTAATCATCAGAATGATGACCGACGCTATGTTTGTCTAGTTAGTTCTTCATGTTGAATAAATTCCATTGATTAAGTTATAATGTGGTAATTATGCTAAAATGAACTGACTTTGTGTGCACTATGTTTTCAATGTTAGGTTAGATAGATTGCAAGTAATCCTGTTTAACCGAAGTTTCATGTTAGCTGGAACATGTCAGTAAGGTGTGCGTGTAATTGAAATGGTAGAGAAAGATTATTAGTTCAGGTGGATAACTGTGATGGAGTTTCGTTCTCTTAGATGGATGTGTTTGGTTGTGGAACTTGCATTGTTCTTCTGGATAACATCCAGCTCAGATAACGAAACTTGACCATAATCATCTACCTGAGCAATAAATTTTCTCCACCATCTCAATTACATATACACCTTACTGACATGTTCCAGCTAACATGAAACCTAGGTTAAACAGGATTGCTTGCAATCTATCTAACCTAACATAATAAATAAAGAAGAATAAGAAGCTGAAAATGATACTGATATGTTCGTCCGTTAATATGCTTGAAACTATTACGAGTTCACATTACTAGGTAAACGGAACGAAAGCAATGAGTCAGTGACATGATAGGCTATTCTAATCCGAATGTCCCAGGCCTCGTTAACAAAAGCAAGAAGTCTTGATAAGGCGTAGAGAATGTATTCTACAAGCACCCAGAAATATAAGTTTGCTAAGCAGAAAAATCAAGTTTATTTATACAATGACAGAAACGCCCTTGGAAGAGTCGCAAAATAGCGTACTAAAATAATCCATCAACCATAGACAACCAAAGATTTTCCGAGTGAGAAATGTAAGCTCAAGGTCAACGAAGTGACTCATGCGCGAAAACATAAAAAAAAATCGAAATTTCATAGGATCTTTTCCAAGTGAGCTCTGGGGATCTAACGTCCCCATAAGATACTTAACTGAAGATTTTTACAAAAAAGGAAATAGAAAAATTGAATGAACCTTGGTGTACAGTGGTCAATTTTAAATCATTTCACCTAGTTGCAGCATTAACCGCTGATTATTACAATCATTGTATAAAAATTTACTATTAAACAGGTTAATTGAAAATTCATATTGTTGTTACATAATATGTCAAATAGCGACTCATGAATTTATGCGTTAAACAAAAAAAAAGCAGGACAAAAGGTTCAATGACCTAATGAATTACACATACAGGTCATCTGTTGAGACAAGTTTTATTAGTATTGATTTAATTTGATGACAGACATTTCAGTGGAAAAAGTTTTGCATATAAACTCTCAAATGAAGATAAAGATTTGTTTGAATAACTTAGAAGTTCTTTTTGTACAGATTCTCGAAGTAAAACTCAAAAAACTACTACTAACAACAACTTCATACATGTGAATGAGCATAGCGATATAGATACAACAAATTTGATTTTACTTTATGACACGTAGCTTTGTTTATGAGCTTACAAATTTCTCTCCAATGAACTTCATCTATCAGTCAGTCAGTCAGATGCAACGTAGAACTTCGTACGTATGTACATAAGTTCAGGTTGCCACACCACATTATTAGCACAGAGACGCAAATGTCAAATCAAATCCCATAGTGATAAAGATAGTAGAGGTATTAATGTTATAATAAAGAAGACTAGGGTTTAAGATATTATTCAAAAAATATAATTCAGTGAGATAAGGTTAGAAAGACAAAGGTAGAAGTGCTGGCTAATCCAGAAGATTAGGATTTGAGAGAGCTCAAAGAATGGATGCACTTGCGCTATTGCAAACGATTTTGAGCCATGTCGTTCAAGGTCTCTAACCATTGGTGACTTTCGTCTCGCGGACTCCAACCAGGTAACATGCACCCACCAACATGACTCAGTCCACTAGTCAGTGACTTCATGGATTTGTGCCATGTTTTGGTTTGGCCGCCCCTAGCTTTCTTCCAATCTACGCCTACACCACAAAACATAGCTCGTTGAGGCAGTCGGTGGTTAGGCATACGCAACACATGTCCCAATCACCTCAAATGATGAACTTCACCTATCTCCCTCTGGCTGCTTCATATTAACCAGTAATTAACAAAGAGAGAGCATTTTTCTTTCTCATTCATTTGATAGATGAGTAGAGTAGTGTCTACATGTTAAAGTGTAATTTTCATGTAAGATTTCACTTCAAATCATAATAGATTTCTTTTTTGCTCGTCTGACTACTAATTGAGCTGTTTAACTATACTGATATGTTGTTCATCACAAACAATTACAGATAATCATATACGACGATTGAGTTGAGATCTTTAATGTAAACTACAATTCAAGATTTAGGCAGAACTTATACAAATAAATTGGCCAGACACGATCAGCAACAACGTACTGTGGGAGAGAACAAACCAGATTCTAGTGGAGGAGGAAATCAGGAAGAAGCGGTGGAAGTGGATAGGATACACATTGCGGAAAGCACATAACTGCGTCACAAGACAAGCCCTCACATGGAACCCTCAAGGCAAAAGGAAAACAGGAAGGCCAAAGAACACACTACGCCGAGAAATAGAGAAAGATATGAGAGGAATGAACAAACATTGGACAGAACTGGAAAGGGAAGCCGAGGACAAAGTTGGCTGGAGACAAATGGTGGGCATCCTATGCTCGAATGTGGCTAACAGGCGTAAGTAAGTAAGTGGGCATACAAATAAATGACCGAAAATATTGAATGCAACAGATTGTTGGAATATTGAAATTGTGATAGATATTTTCAGACTTTCTATATTTTATTTATTATAATAAATAATCTGGTTTTTAAATTATAATCAAACATATACGAGAATCCGATAGTTTACATTATAGACTGACTTTACAGTTAGGTAGGTCAATAACGACTTGGAAGTACGTGAAGGGATTGAACACCCTCCATCCCATCGATGTTTGAACCATACGACCAATATGTTATGCTCGTCAATTGATATGCTTGAAACTAGTATGAGTTCACCTTAGTCGGTAAACGAGAGCGAACACCAATGATTCAGTGACACGATAGGCTATTTTAATCCGAGCGTCCCAAGGCCCAACTAAGTAGAGGAAGGAGGAGTCTTGACAAGACGTAGAAAGTGTGTTCTACAGGCACCCAGAAAATATGACATTCTCAAGCACACGAATCGAGTTTATTTATTCATCATAGATTGAAACAAAAATAGCGTACTAAAATAATACATCAACCAATAAACAGTCAAGGACTTGCCTGGTGGGAAATGTAATCTCAAAGTCAACTGATTAGCCTACGAATAAAATCCAAAATTAAGACATTTATCAAGTGAGTTCTGAGGATCTAACGTTCCCAACACAATATGGTGCAACCTTATCTTTCAACGCCACTCGATATAGTTAAACTTCATCGTTATTATGTTCGTCACTAAGTATGCTTGAGGCTATTACGAGTTCACCTTAGTCGATAAACGCGAACGAGACAATTACCAGCGTCTAGGTAGGCTAATTTGGATCCCCAAATGGAGTAAAAAGGCTTTGTAAGCGTAGAAAGTATATTCTACAAACAATCCAGCAATCACAGTACAATCAAGCATACAACTCTCGTTTATTTATACATCATAGAAACGTCCTTGGGACAGTTAAGAAAATAGCACACTAAAATACACAGCAGCCAATCACAGCCATGGATTTTCCTGGTGGGAATTGAAATCTTAAGGTCAACTGATCAGCCCATGCTGGCAAACGTGAAAACCAAAATAAGGCATTTATTAAGCGAGTTTTGGGGATCTAGCATACCCAACAATCGTTTACAAATTGTTGCTAGAACACCAGGAACTACCTCTTAAATTTAGTTGTTGTTATGTACATGATGATTATTTATAAACTGATGCTTGTAAGGAATTTTACAGTTTTGCAACATAGACTGACTTCAATTAGACAACATTGGAGAAAGCTACATTGTACCTGGAACAAAGCAATTAAACTAATAAGTGATTGAAAAGCGTCCTATGTGGTTGGTTTGGAAACAGTTATTTAAGGTCAATACATAGTTCGCTGCCTGCTGTACAAATTAACAGATAACTAATCGACTTCAACATTGTTTGTTACATATAGCTAAAGCTAGTAAGATTCAGGTCGACAACACTAACACTAATCTCTGTAACTAAATAAAAATTGCAATACTTCAGTACTTTTTTGGCTTTATAAGACGACTTTGTACATTTTTTTATTCAACCACTACTCCATATCTGTCCTACCGTACTCGTATTGTAGTGAACGAGAACACAGGTGGGGCAACGGAATAGTATTTAACGAAAATTACAGAGTTACTCAGTAAAATCGGAAAACTATATCGTAAATCGTTAATTTGCAAAATATCAGTTCATCATATTGAACTGGACTGTTCCTGTTGCAAAACATCAATCCATTATGGTCACTATTCATGCGTTTCATACAAATTCCATTGTGTTCTTCTAACTCTTCCTTTCTTGATCTTCCACCCATCTTCTGCTGCTGCCATACATTACGTTGACACTCACGTCATATACTACTTATAAGTAGCTCACACCACAGTATATGAAAGGTAATTATTCTTATAACATGGTTTTTTACAGAATTAAAACTTCATAACATTTATTTTCTTTGATTTAGACTTAATTCTTATAACGAAATTTTCATACCAGCTGTTATTATTCTTATCATTACCAGTTCAACTGCTTTATTATCAGTTCATACTGATTATTTAATCTCTTTTAATCACATCACTGACCCACATGTTGACTTCATTATCATTGTGATCAACTTTTGTTAATGTTAACATACAAGCATTATGTACGCATTACCTTAATATGCCTAATTTGTCACAACGTTTACAGAATAAATGGATTATGATTTGCAAGGGAATAAATAATGTACATATTGTCGTCGTATGTCAAATGCATCAGTGTCGCAGTGTTGATGTTCATATGAAGACTCAA